GTGATTATAATATAAATACATTAATATAGGAATATAATTTTTACTTACATATTTTGCTTTAAATTTAGATGACTGCTGTAGAGGGATTGAAGGAAAACTTGCTACAAGCGCTTCTCCTACATCACGATACTTCCAACGTTTTCTCATATGACTGATGTCATGAGGAATTAAGTTGTGCCTGCTGATTAAATAATGTTCAAAATTAATACATAATATTGTATATTTTTTTTATTATAAATAAAAACACAAAATGTACTTACTCTAAGTGCTCTATTAGTTCATCTTTCACTTGAGAACATAACTTTTTTTTTGTTTTTGGACTCATAACTTGCCCCTCCAAAAAAGGCATTACATACGAGCTAAATTTAGGTAACAATTGGGCTTCTTTTTTATCATACTATAACTCAAAATAACAGAAAAGTAGAATTTTTACGAAAATGTACAGTTACAGAATAAGTATATATATATATTTAAAACAATATGTATAACTCTAATTTATAGGACCAATAAACCACCCTGAAGGCAAAAGAATATGAATCTTGTCATTTAAGACATATTCTGGGATAGTCCATGGATATTTAAGTTCGCAAATATTATACATTTCCAGTTGATTTTCACAAGATACGGTATAACTGCATATGTTTTGATTATATATTGTAAGAAGAGTTTTTACAAGCAAATAGTACACGTCTTCAACAAGAAATATGCGATCAACTCTACCGAATAAAGGATGTTCATCAATCTCTCCAACTATTACAATGACATTATTTGTATATTGTATCCCGCGATATTTTAAGTATGATAATTCGATTACCTCAGAGATATTATCAAAATTAAAGAACTTTTCAAAGATAGCACTTTCTTCTTCTTTCATGACAACGTTTTTAATTTTCATGTCCACTGATGGGGATAAAAAAGACTTTTTAACGTAACCATTACTATGAAACATCTGATAAGCACACTCTATTTGAAAATGATCCATCACAGAATAGCAAATATTTTTGTACGAAAAGAAACGTTTTTGCTTCACAACAAAATGCTTACTTTCGGCACGAATGCATGATTGGAATCTACCTGGTCCATGTGTACGCATTTGTGCAGCTAAGTGAACCAGCATATGCAATTTAGGAAAGAAATTATCTGGGTACAATTTCACATACAGGTTTTGGTGTTCATGCACTAAAACCTCTATCGCAGCTAAAGATTTAACTGTCAATACAGGTGACCATATCAATTTAACAATTGCGACAAGCAAAAGAAAACACTGCCAGTGCTGATTATCAGCAGAAATATCACGATATAGTATTATCGGCAAATGATACATTAGCGTAAAATTTGCTTTACTTGTTCCTGATATAGAAAAATCTTGAGGAATAAGACGAGGCCTTTCACCACTTAAAATGCTTTTATGGAATTTAAAATTGTTAATTAGAGTATTCAGGCGATTACGATTGATTAAACGTTGCGAAACAATAGATTTTAGCAGCAGGCTTATTTCTTTAGGAACAATACCTTCCAATAACACGTGCATAGGATCATACAAAACATCTTTAAATATGTTAAAAAAAGGAATCTGTCGGAATATATTATCTCGTTTAATTCCATTACTTAGAGATATCTTAGAATACAAGGCTTTGTTTCTTCTCATCGCTTCTTTCATTTTATCAACAACTTGATAGTGTTGTACCTCATCTCGCAAAGGACATTGATAATGGTATGATAATTGAGGAAATGATTTAAACGACGCAGTACAGATTCGACATTGTTGCTTAACGAGAGGAGAAAAACATTCCTTAAAACCACATAATTGATGTGCTGCTAGAGCATCAGCATGATATGCAAACAGATAGCCATAAAATATTTCTCCATGAGAATCAGAAGGAATTGTAATTCCTGTTGAAGCAAGTATCTTCAAATCATTAATGAAATTATTAAGAAGAATTTCGTGTGTTCTTAAAGATTTCATTGATTTACTTTTACACACAGCTATGCAAAATGTGGCTGCTAAACGTGATCGCAAGTAAACAGGAATGTTCAAGATAGTCACATAAAATAAACATATTTTATTCGTACCTCTATGCATGCCAATTGGATTACATAATTCAATATCATCATTATATAATAATAAAGCAATGTTGTTTTTTGCGTGCGCAATCTGTCCAGGATGATTTCTATATCTTTGACCCTGCATTACATCAGTTATATGATAATCTGATAATAGGGCATTATTTTTGAAGAAAGACAAAATTTCATTGAATTTTGCTAAATTCTGAATAATATCAATTATTGACACTACGTATCCACTACTGCCGTCAGGAAGACGTACTTCTTCCGGAACCAGATACACACCATTTTTTGACAAATGGCATTTACGTAATCTATCTGTGACTAACCCAGAAATATCATCTTCATAACCAATGCAGCCAAGAAAATTTGCCATTGAATTTATTGCTACTTTAGGAACTTTATGCTTCGCCTCCAAAAGTACACAAAAATCTAAAATTTTATCGCTAAGATTCAATTCTTTCACATGTCTATTTAACATTATATTCGTATCGATATCACACTCATTTTGTTGTAATTCTACAACGGGTAAATCATATGTAAATGTTAAAGCAATACATTTATGTGACTTAAATTCTGTTAATACTGAAAAATATAAATTACATTTACGGCAATGACAAATTATTGTGCATTTTGATCTATGTCTGTGCATTACATTCATATGATGTATTAAATGCGTTTTTTTATTGCTAACTAATCCGCATAGCAAACACTCGTAAATCATTGTTACCGAATCTTCCTCAGCTGTGGTATTATTGTTTTGCTTATCGTCTTGTTGCTCTACTTCATCGTTGGTAGATTTCAAAGTCTCTTGAGAACCTTGATTATTATTTTTGTTGCCTGCTGGACCAGGCAAATTTTCTCTTGCCGGTATTATAACTGTGTAAACCAATATAATTTTGTTTATTTTCTGCGATATAATAATATACACATGTACAAAATGTATGCGTAATATATGTTACAGATAAGTAAGAATAAGAGCATACAAAAGGATATTGTATAATTTATATACATAACACACACACACACACACTTACGCACGCACACACGCACGTAGACACAAATGTCTAACTACATATATTTGCACACATATCGGAAAATGCATGAAAGGGAATAAGAAGATAGAGAAAGGAAAGAGAAGCATGGTCAAAGATATCCTGGCTGCGTAAGAACATACGTCTATTTAGCGAATATTTCATATGCACAAATTAAAAAAATTTAGCACAGTGTATTAAGATTCAAGTAAGTGTTTCAAATTTACCTTCATCTATACAGACTTCTCTCGTTGTTTCCATCCGTTCGTGTAAAGGTGAATGATGTCCACAAAAACAGCATACATTTGTATTATCATCCGTGGAAGACAATTCGAAATTATCACAGTCACATGTTGTACATTTACCGCGATGAATACCGCGTCGATCGACACCCATATTTCACTTAACAGCAACACGATTACAATAATAACCTCTTTTTACGTAACAGGAAAACCGCGCCGTGCTCTTAGATGCCAACAATTGAACGATAAAAGAAGATTGCGCGCCAACGCCATATTGGTTATCGCCATATTGTGGTTGCCATGGTTATGTTATTTCTGTCCGCTTTAAATATACATGACCAAAGCCACAACATGACCATGTCCTTTACAATATCCATAATCATTACTGTCCTGTTTATATAAAGGATTAAGATATATATAAATAAAGTGTCACATTAAGAATTGCACCAGTCATGCTTAAATAAAATGAATATGTAAGAAATCCGTCTTAACATTGTATGTTCCGTTATAAAATATAAGCGTCCTTTATATATAAAGAGGATATGTTTTGCAGTGTAATAAAATACACTTAAATAAATATTTAAAACAATTCATATTTATAATATTTTTCTGTATGTATGTACACGGGCATGTACACGCTTTAGAGCGAACTAAATTGAGTTCTCTAAAAGATTTCGATCATTTCCCGATTTTCGCAGTCAAAATAATTAATTTCTGAAGCGCCGAATATTCGCTATCGCGATAGCTAGCCGCGCGAAGAGTGGGGATGGTTGGCAAGCGCTCCGCCGCCCCCACTGCGCACACCGCCGCTAGCCCCCAAACGTCCGCTTCGCGCGGCCCGCGCGCCCATCGCGGCGTTCTGTAGGCGTACGCTCAATGGTGTGGTAGGCTGAACGAACGCGCGTATTTGCCAATCTTTAAAAATTAATATCTCGTTAACTATTGCTGTAATCCCAAAATGGTACAGGACTTTTCGACTCAGTATAGTCTGTTCTACCCACCCGTGAAATATTTGGCGGTTATTCTCGCTCACCCTGTATATATATATATATTTGCATGTGCGTAGCTAGCGAAAGCATGTTCTTTAAATCTTGAAGAATAAAAAATTATAGTACAATATGGTACAATATCTACAATATAATAAAATAATTTTAAAATTCGCTATAAAAAGTGCTCTTACAATCTCATTAGCCATAGTCTTGTTCTAGGAGTTCTATTAAAAATCATTTAAAATTTTAAAGTAGGGTAGGTTAAAACATGATTGAGATCAACAATGAATGAAATCCGGATTATTAAACGAATTATTAAACGGATTATTCTTAGGCTGGAACCCCATGAAACGTTTTTACCGCGTATCGCGTAATCACGTAACCAATCAGTGATAAGTAAAACGCGAAATCACAATAGCGAATCACTTTTGATCACTTTTGATTGATTACGCGGTTACGAGATACGCGGTAAATACGCCTCATGGGACTTCAGCCTTAATCAGTATTCAAAGGAAATTAATATTGAAAAAGAAGAAATTGGTGATGAAAAGATTGAAAAGTTATAGAAAAGTTTTATGAGAATACAAAACGATATAATATTCTAAATGTAAGTTACAAGAATCAGTTTTACAATATTAGGAGAACAAAGATTGTAAGAAAGAAAATGGTGTAGAATATTGTTTATTTGTTCATTTCTGACATGTGATGATGTCTTTCTCCAAAATATTCAGCCCCTCTCCTTTCTAACAAAATTCTAACTACGCCCATGTATATTTAAGAAATTAATGTCAATATTAGTTGATTTCTTGAGCGCCTTCAGATGGAGTCGCTATGTAAAATGTAAGCGTGCCGAAATATCTACAAATAAAAATGTTTTAACAGCATTTATATAGATATAGTATGCATATATACAAAAACTTAATTTAATACAGACGAATGAAATATTAACTTCGTTTTTATATGCTGGATTGCTTTGTCAACCGCATCCTTTCTCAACAAAGTTACGGTGCAACCACCAAAGCCTGCGCCTGTCAAGCGGCTTCCTAACACACCGTCTACTTCTCTAGCTGCCGAGACAAGTGAATCAAGTTCCTTGGACGAGACCTCGTAATCATCACGCAATGAATCGTGACTTTTATTCATTAATCGCCCAAATTGCTGAAAGTCACCTTTCTCAAGTGCCACCGCAGCGTCCAGAGTTCGTTGAATTTCTGTGACCACATGACGAGCTCTTTTCACAATGGAATCGGATGCATTTTGCGATATTAACGCTGAAAACATGTTAGTCTATTATATATATACAGAAACCAGAAATAACAACAATATTAATTTATTATCGTCCTTAAAATATATTAAATTTGACATAAAAAATGTAATTATTTGCTTAAAATAAAAGAATAAAGTCAAGAATATCATAAAATTAAAGAATACACATATATAAGTAGTATTTAAAATCCTCTATTGTTACCTAAAATATCATTCATATTTGCATCTCTCAAACTCTTCTTGCCTAAAATTTTTGCGGCTTCGTAACAACAATTTCTACGCTCGCAATAGGCGCTCGAACTTAATTTGTGCGGTATGTTTGAATTCGTTATAAGAAAAACGTAATTATCTAGGTGCAACATAGGTATTTGTTTAATAATAAGATTGCGACAGTCAAGCAAAAGAGCACAGCCTTCCTTCCCCATAGTTGAGATAAACTGGTCCATTATACCGCATGGCACTCCAGCAAAATCATGCTCCACTTTTTGACACGCTAAAGCCTATGTATATAATACGTAAATACATACATATATGTACACGCACCGGCAGAAATGCTGTCCCTCGGCGTTCGACGCGCGGCGCTACACACTCGTACCGAGAGCACACGTAACGTGTTACTGGGAGCGCGGAGGAGGCGTGGATTTACAATATTAAAAATTTTTATGCATAATTACAATATTTTGTGTGTAATAAAAGTATTATTATGAATATTGACAAGCGAAAGACACCGGAGTATCTCACTCGTACTAGTAACAAATGTGTGAGACAGCGAAAGGACACCGCGAGCAGGCATCCACGTCCAATTACGCTTTCTCTCTCGATCGTGCGCCTTGCGCTAAGGATAGAATATCGGAGCGCGCCCCACTACTTTCTCCCTCCGCGCTCCACGCCTCCTCCGCGCTCCCAGTAACACGTACGTGTGCGCTCGGTACGAGTGTGTAGCGCCGCGCGCCGAACGCCGAGGGACAGCATTTCTGCCGGTGCGTGTACATAATATACATATTCTATATTAATTAACATATTTTCTTTCTCTTCATTAGGGATATTAACAATGTATTTGAAAGTAAACAATTATTTAGGATAATAACAAAAAATTTTTTCTATTTTTTGTTTGGGATAATTAAAAATTGTATAAAATATGTACAAGTAACTATTTATTTATATAGTTGTGACTACATAGATAAATGAAAGGACGAATAAATAAATTTTTCAGGACATAAATAATTTTTTCCAAAATTTCGTTACCTTCAAAAAATTTTCACAAAGCAGCTAATCAAATTTATTACTATTTACAATCGTTGGAATAATAAACTCTCTCTCTCGCACGCACGCACGCACGCACATAGCTAATTATCACGGATAATTATCCGTTAGTTTGGCTATTGATGCGTCAATAAAAAAATATTTTATTTTAATAAATTTTAATGTGCCTCTCTGTCCTTATATTGTGTTCAACTTAAAATAACGTTATCAGCAATTGTTTTGTTAGTTCTTTAAGAAACTATACAGCTTTAGATAGGTGAGAGATTGGGGTCAAATGGAATCATTATATAAATGGAGAATTATATTATACATATAGATGGACTGGATTAGATATAAATTGAGAATAGTTAAGAAAAAATTTAAGAAAGAGGTAAGGCTAATGTGAAAGAAGTGCATATAATGTGTGGAAAAATAAATGAGTTTAAGTTTAAACATTGTAAACCAAGTCCCCTTATTCTTAGTTGTATATACATTCTATATGTATAGCTATGTATATTTCACATACACATATACAGGGTGTCTGAGACCACCAGTACATACCTTTTATCTCGGAAACAGAGTATTTTAGGGAAAAAACGTTTCAGACAAAAGTTGTGGGGTTCTAAATGATCCATTCAGTGAAATCTAATCTTTAATAGCATCACAAAGGTCAGAGCAATGTCACTGTAAATTTTTTTAATGGATTCGTATATTTTTCATATTCTTATAATATTCCTTTCCAAAACACTATAATAAAAAATATAAGACAATCAAAAGGTTCAGTTGAATAAATCATAAAAATAAACAAGATGCCAATGTGAGCCGACACAGGTTATTGGTGTGCACTTTTCTTACAATTTATTAAAAATAAATAAAACGTATATTTCGACCTCTGGTCAAAGTCCTCCTCAGTACAAAATAATATAAAACTAACATATTTGTTATACGTTTTATTTATTTTTAATAAATTGTAAGAAAAGTGCACGTCGGCTCATATTGGCATCTTGTTTATTTTTGTGTGACTATATAATAAAATATATAATAAAATATTTTCCCATTAAAGTACTTTTCGAGTTATGTTTCGTGCTTATTGTCGATCTGTCGTTCGTGTCGGCGAGTTCTTATATTGCAATCTTCGTGTATAATTCGGGATCTCTCGGACTTCTCCGAACATTACGATAAATTCCCGAGAGATCCGTTAGCGAGTCGTCGGCACTTCGGTTCTATCTGTTCGCTCGACAACAACGCACAATATTGCTCTTATATATATATAATAAAAATAAACGAGTTGACATATAACTATTTAATTAAACAAGAACAGATCTTTTACATTCTTACGTCTACCTAATCCAGGGAGAAACCGATATATTCGTGACCAAGGAAATTAATTGAGATAGAGGTGCGATCACCTCGTCTGTGAGTTACGTGGAACGCCCGTAAGAACACAGAATAACGAACAATTTGGTCCTTCGAGCCGGATCCGTCGACAAATTCAATTACTCCGGGCTTTGGAGCCGGCGGACAGCACCACATCAACTTTCGATGGGTCTATCTGCGACAATTCGGATGACGGATCTTCTGCAATAATCGACGTTTCTGGTTGCGGATTGTCTGGACGTTGGAGCAGCGGACGGACGTAAGCGAAGAGGGGAACAATAAGGGCCTACTCAACCATCTTCGACGAGAGCATCTACGCGAATCTGCGGATATCGGTAAGGGTTTCCATTCCACTATCTTACCGACCAATTGTTTTCGGTTTATAAATTAGGATGTCCCAAACGAACTTGAAAAGACGACGCACGGTAATAAAGGCATCTTGCACGCGTATAAAAAGCTACGTTGAGTCGATTTCTGACATAACACCCGATGTAATTGCTAATTTAACAGAACGAAAGGAAAAATTATCTGAATTCTGGTCAGAATATAATAGGATACAGTGCGAATTAGAGACATTAGACGAAAACGAGGGAGATGATCGTGGCATCTTCGAGGATATGTTTTTCGACTTGACCGCTACTATAAGACGTACTATTTCTAATTTCGAATCTCGTAACGTCGGGATACCGCTGCCTTCAATTGTGTCTCCGAATTCCGAAGGCAGTTCCGTGGAAATGAGTCACGTAAGATTGCCTAAATTAAATCTTCCGAAATTTTCGGGTAAATATGAAGATTGGTTTCCATTTCATGATATGTTCAATTCAATGATTCATAATAATTCCGCATTAAACGAATCTCAAAAATTTCAATATTTGAAAACGTCCGTTACGGGCGATGCAGCGGATATTATTCGGTCATTAGAGTTGACCAATGAGAACTATCGAGTGACATGGGGCTTACTGACTCAGCGATACGATAATAAACGCACGATTGTGCAATTGCATGTACGCGCATTATTCGAGTTGCCGAGTACGAGCAAGGAGAACGCGATCGAGTTGCGTAGGATCGCGGATAGTGCTCTCAAACACATTCATGCCTTAAAGGCGCTGCAGTGTCCCATAAATCATTGGGACACCATATTAATCCATTTATTGGTGTCTAAATTAGATACTATTACAATACGCGAATGGCAAACTTCATTAACGGGGACAGATTTACCCACCTTCGAACAATTTGTAAAATTTTTAAATCATCGATGCCAGACTTTAGAATCGGTAGGTAGGAGCGGTGGCGCGCTTCAGCCTGCGAATAAACGTTTAACTCACATCGCGACTGTGAATTCTCAATGTACGTATTGCGGTGGTAATCACCCTGTATATCATTGTCAAAAATTCGCGAAGCTTACTGTTCCTCAACGTTTCGCGGAGGTTCGTAAGCGTAAATTGTGCGTAAATTGCTTGCGCTCGACTAAGCATACAGCTAATAAATGCCATTCTGGCGTATGTAAGATTTGTTCCGGTAAGCATAATTCGCTTCTTCATTTTGCATCGAATAACGACGATCATTCCGAACAAAACAAAACAGACAATGAGTCGGCTCAGTTGTCTTCAGAGGCAACAGCGGTCACGGCGCATTCCTCCATGTCGACAAATTACGGTTCGGTGTTGCTCTCAACCGCTGTCGTGTTTATTAAAGATTCGAACGGGAATAAGCAAACTTGCCATGTTTTGCTTGACAGCGGTTCTCAGGCCAATTTCATGACGCGATCATGTGCTGAACGATTACGGTTGAAATCGTACCCTAGCACGGTTATGATATCAGGAATTAACGGCACTACCAGTAATACAAGTCGGACGGCAAGAGTAGAATTGTATTCGCGTTTCAATAAATTTTCTTCATCTATCGATTGTGTTTTGAGCGATCACATTACCGATTCGTTGCCTTCGATTCCCGTTGATCAATCACGGGTACATATAACACACAATGTAAGGTTGGCTGATCCGGATTTCCATCGATGTTCAGACATCGATTTATTGATCGGAGCGGAATTGTTTTGGCAATTGATTTGTGTCGGTCAAATAAAGGCGTGTCGAAGTCATCCAACTCTTCAGAAAACACACCTCGGATGGATCATGGCGGGTCGATTAAATAATTATAAACATAATCTCATAAATAATCAATCGATAAAGGGGTTTTATACTTCGATTACGAATGTCGAGCTGCACGACAGCTTGACTCAGTTTTGGTAGCTGGATCGGGTTTCGGATAGCGACAATTCGTATTCCCTTCAGGAACAAATGTGCGAGAAACATTTTATTGAAAATGTCTCTCGAAATAATCAAGGTCGTATTATTGTAAGACTTCCTATCAAGGAGAATAAATTGCGGACTCTCGGTGAGTCGCACGGTATAGCTCTGCGTCGGTTTCACAGTTTAAAGAGAAGATTAAGTCGAGATTCTGCGCTGCGCTGTCAATATTCGGAGTTCATGCGCGAATATTTATCACTCGGGCATATGAAGTTGGTAAATATTGGGGATCAAGCCGGAGGCGATTCGATCGCGTATTATTTGCCGCATCACAGCGTATTAAAACCGTCTAGTGAAACAACAAAGTTGCGAGTCGTATTTGACGGATCTTGCAAGGGTACAACCGGAGTCTCGTTAAATGATGTATTGATGATTGGTCCCACAGTACAACAAGACATAATGTCAATTATATTGCGATTTAGATTTTTCAAATTTGCATTTACTGCAGATATAACGAAAATGTATCGTCAAATATTAATTGATCCCGCACAAACATGTCTTCAACGCATTCTTTGGCGAGACAATGAAAATTCCGAAATTCAAACATATGAGTTAGCAACGATTACTTATGGTACGTCGGCGGCCTCTTATCTGGCCACGAGATCTCTTAAATACTTAGCTGAATTATATCACGAGCAGTTTCCCGCAGGCGCGCAGCGCATAATTCGCGATTTCTATGTTGACGATATATTGACTGGCGCCGATACTGTCGAGGCAGCGGTAGAGGCTCGCGATCAAATAATTAAAATATTAAATCGTGGATCATTGCAACTCAACAAATGGTCATCAAATAATGCAGATATTTTAAACAACGTGCCGGGCGTGAATGTTGCTAAAATAAATGTTAACAAAGAATCGGTTTCACGTGTTCTCGGTATTAATTGGAATTCGTCCAGTGATACATTTCGATTTTTGATCGAGCCGCAGTCATCGCCGGTGCGTCAAATCACAAAGCGCTCGATTCTCTCGGAGATTGCGCAACTGTTTGATCCGATTGGATTTCTCGGACCTGCTATCGTCATTCCTAAATTATTGATGCAAGAAATGTGGCAGCTCGGCATTCACTGGGATGAGTCGGTTCCCTTGAGCATTTATTCTAAATGGTCCGTATTTAGAAGTCAATTTGTTGAACTGAATAATCTCAGCATTCCTCGATGCGTCGGTTCCCTTGATGATGGCGCCGTGCAGTTGCACGGATTTTGCGACGCCAGTCAACGGGCCTATGGCGCATGTATTTACATTCGCAGTCGAGATTCTCAATCCGGTTTTTCTGTTAACTTGTTATGTTCAAGGACTAGAGTCGCTCCGCTCAAAGCGGTGTCTTTGCCGCGCCTGGAATTGTGCGCCGCGTTATTATTGTCGCAATTATTAAACAAGGTTAGAGCGTCGGTTGACTTACAATCGGTTGAGATATTCTTGTGGTCAGATTCCATGGTAACATTGCATTGGATATCATCAATATCGCGTAAATGGGGAGTTTTTGTCGCCAATCGAATTGGCGAAATTCAGGGGTTGACGCAACGTTCAAATTGGCGCCATGTTCCCTCATCGGCGAATCCTGCGGACTTATTGTCGCGCGGCGTGCAGCCACGTGATTTATTGAATTCATCCTTGTGGTGGCGCGGTCCTGAATTTTTGATGCTTGATTCAGATTCGTGGCCGAGTTGTGATTTGTCGATTGAGGAATGCGATGTACCTAAGCTAAAACGATCCGAATTACAGAAATTAATTTCTGCCCCCGTAGTTATTGATGGTACATTGTTGAATTTAATTGATAGATTTTCAAATTTAAATAAAATATGCCGAATAGTTGCTTATTGTTTGCGCTGTTTCAAGTCGCGTTCACGGGTATGTGCTGGAGCGGGCCTTGTGGTCTCGCATCACGAGACATCAGCTGCATTGAATGCACTCTGTAGAATTGTGCAGGGTTGCGTTTTTTGCAACGAGATCACCCTTTTAATTAAGGGCGCGCCACTTGGTTCCTCACCGTTGGTGTCACTGTCACCTTTTTTAGATGATCAGGGGTTACTCCGCGTTGGAGGTCGATTAAAAAATTCACAATTAACATATGACGCTTGCCATCAAATTTTGTTGCCAAAAAATCATCGTCTTACGCAACTTATTATACAGCAGGAGCACGTTCGTGGTTTGCACGCGGGCTTACAGGGTACTATCGCCGCCGTGAGGCGGAGATTTTGGCCTTTGTCAGTACGTTCCATCACACGAAAGATTATACGAAATTGTATCACTTGTTTCAAGTGCAAACCAGTTGTCTCAGAAGCTAAAATGGGAGTATTACCACCTCCCAGAGTAACGCCATCGCGAACGTTTTCAAATAGTGGCGTAGACTATGCGGGACCGTTCATTATACGTGAGGGCAAAAGAAGAAATGCTCGAAATAGTAAGGCTTATGCTTGCTTATTTGTGTGTCTGGCTACTAAAGCTATCCACATTGAGCTGGTCAGTGATCTTACTTCTGACTCATTTCTGGCATCACTGAAACGGTTTATTTCACGTCGCGGAGCACCAAATTCTATTTATTCGGATAATGGTACAACATTTGTTGGTGCTGCGCGACAATTATCGGAACTGCATAAATTTTTAAATTTAGCAGACACGCAGGAGAGGGTAATTAAGCATTGTAATGACTTAGGCATAACCTGGCATTTTATTCCACCTAATGCTCCACATTTTGGTGGGCTGTGGGAGTCCGCGGTCAAGTCGACTAAGCATCACCTACGGAGAATTGTTGGTGAGGCTCATCTCACTTTTGAAGAGTTGCAAACGGTGTTGTGTGAAATAGAGGCAATATTAAACTCACGTCCATTAATAGCATTAAGTTCAGATCCTAACGATTTGAGTTATCTTACTCCGGGGCATTTTTTGGTCGGCGGGGTGCTGGGTGGTTTCCCTTGCCGTGACCTGAGGGACGTCAACGAGAACCGACTCGTTCGCTGGCAAAGAGTGGAGCAACTCCGACAACATTTTTGGAGCCGCTGGAGCCTCGAATATTTAAATCAACTGCAACAGCGGAACAAATGGCCAGCGAATAAGGGCGAGCAGCTGAAAACCGGACAGCTGGTGTTAATTAAACAGCCTGGTACTACTCCACTCAGCTGGGTGCGCGGCCGCGTCAGGGAGGTTCATCCAGGACCGGATGGAGTTGCTCGTTCTGCAACTATTACTACAACGAATGGGTCATTAACTAGACCACTGACAAGAATTTCCATTTTACAGATTGATATGAATTGAATTATAATTGTTTTTCTTCTTCTTTCAAAAAAAATCCATGTATTAATCTATTGACAGTTGACGCGAATCAACGAATAATACTTGACATTGTTTATTGCACATTGTAATCTATGACATACGCGAACTATTCTCGCAATATTTGAATGTATTATCTAGTTGTTCATATTTATTATTGACACTGCAATTATCTATATTGTATAATTTGAATAACATGGTTCTTCAAGGCCGGCGGTGTTTCGTGCTTATTGTCGATCTGTCATTCGTGTCGGCGAGTTCTTATATTGCAATCTTCGGGTATAATTCGGGATTTCTCGGACTTCTCCGAACATTACGATAAATTCCCGAGAGATCCGTTAGCGAGTCGTCGGCACTTCGGTTCTATCTGTTTGCTCGACAGCAGCACACAATATTGCTCTTATATATATATAATAAAAATAAACGAGTTGACTTATAACTATTTAATTAAACAAGAACAGATCTTTTACATTCTTACGTCTACCTAATCCAGGGAGAAACCGATATATTCGTGACCAAGGAAATTAATTGAGATAGAGGTGCGATCACCTCGTCTGTGTGTTACGTGGAACGCCCGTAAAAACACAGAATAACGAGCAAGTTATAAGGCTTGAAATTAAGTTACAGTAACCGCCAGCATCAACATTATTACACCCAAGGTGTACCGTGTGAAGGTTATTTAGTTGGAATTAATTTCGTGTGTGGGTGTGTGCATATGTGCGTACGTACGTGTATGGGAAAAAAAAGAGAGTCAAAGTTACATGTACTGTGTTCTTGTTTGTTAACTGGACTGATTATGTTTGATGATCAATTAGGTCCAGATTAACTGCATGGATTTTGCTGTGCTTAGCATTACCCAGAATGAACGTCGTGGACGTGACGAGAATTTCATCCTATTGGGGTGCTTGATTCAGGTGAGTCCCCTTGCCTCTCACGTTTGGGGTGCTTGATTCATGTAAGTCCCCTTGCCTCTCTCGTTCGGGAATGCATGAGTATATTATTAAGCGACTGAATGTTCAAAGTGAGCACCATTCTCTGCGATGCAAACATCTATTCTATTTTGAAATCAATTGGTTCCTCAGCATGTAAGGATCGAATTTCTTCACTTATTCTACGAATCATATTGTTCCTCGTAATCGGACATTTATGATAGACCAAGTCTTTTATCCTTCCACAGAAATAATAATCTTTTAGCCGAATTTCGGCGTCAGAGAACACAACGGCGCGAAAGCAACACGCCGCAATCTTTCACGATGTACACACAATCACGGAGTATTAAGAAGGAGTAAAATCTCCGCTTCTAAAAGTGTCCCCGTTTCGATTGTCAATATGGCGTTCGACGGACCCCACTTTCCGGTTTGTGACGTCAGCGTCTGCGCATTGCTCGCCTTGCAGCAGACAACAATTTTAAGATCGAAAAATTGTTGAAAATAATAAAACGCGTAATAACGCGTATAAATGTGTGTTTTTTTTCTAACATTACGTTATATTACTGAATAGTACGAGTTATGTAAATAAAAATGAACTATTATTAACAAATCCCAAATTTGTATCACAATGTTAAATAATTAATTTAATAATGTTTTAATAATTAATTTATTACACGTTAAATAATTAATTTATGATACAAAAGTTTATATGTACAAGTTTATATATAATTAGATTAATTATTCTTTCAATAACCTTTTTGCATCTTTAAAATTCTTGCATACTTCCATATTATGAATAAGATGAAGTATGTTGACAATATCTTTCTGTAACTCTACAGAACTCGGTACACATTTTATTCTAATC